CTAAGCTGGCTTTTTATGTTGCTTTTGGAATAATGGCTTCTTCCTTCATGTCAGTACAGGACATGTTTTGCTTTGGTTCAAAGGATGGCCCAGTCTCTTGGAGGTACAAACTACTTTCCCTGATTTTATGGATGATTTCCCCATAATGTAACAGCAGTGTTTGGAGAAATTACCTTGAAATACATTTTGATTTTTCAAAATTATTTAAAGATAGTATTTTCAATGTCTGCAAAGACCTGACTCCAAACTACTACACCTCTACTCTGCCAATAGAAACTACTTTCCTCAGTGACCTAAAACTTAAAAAATTTGTGTCTTTTTCATAGTGCATGAAAAATGTCTGGTTTAGATTGATGAATGGACAGACAGCAGACAGACGCACCAAGCAGCAGATCAAAGAGAAATGCGACTCACGTTAAAGCTGTACGTGCTCTGCAGCTCTGCAAGCGTCATTTTGTTGTACAGAACCGTGACATCCTGGCGTTCCTCTGCTGGTGATGTTGCCTGTCCAGAAACGGAAGGAAAACTGTAAAAAGTCTCTTTGTGTTTACATTTTGATTTTCACCTTACTTTAGTTTGTTGAACTTTCTTATTTCAAAAAAGAATCACATCTAACTAGAACAGGATGTTTCAAGATTGCAATTTTAAACATGGTGGACCTGAACTGAGAAAAGCATAATGAATAGCACTGGATCAGCTCCTACGCTACTTCAAATTTCAACTGAACAGAAGATTAAAGTAGCTTTACAAACATTTCTTTTGTCTTACAGTCCAATGCAGTCTTCAGCTTCCATACAGCTTTTTAAAATATTGTCCTCTGCTTTGGGTTTTTCCATTTGGAGTCTCATAATGTGGTTGGACTGCTTTCTGGCTTAACGTTACATCAGATTAACATTGTTCACGGTTGTATCTGGAAAATGTTCACTAAAGCATGCTGAGGTAGTGTCACATGCATCACAACCTGAAAAACTCTCTCCAAACAAAATAAAAGTTGGAAGTTTCCTTTTTCAGAGACTGGATGTTAGTTTTCTTCTTCTCCATGTTACTTTCGTGAGTCCACATCTTCACTCACGTTAGCGATGTCCGTCTCCAGCTTCAGGACCTGCATCATTTCATCCCAGACTCTCTCGTCATCCTGAGTCAAGTTTTTGTCCTCCCGGGTTATTTTCGCAATAGACACCATGAAATGTAGGTAGGCCTCTCGAACCTGTGACACAAACCTAGAAGTTATTGGTTTGTTTTCACACTTCAGTACGAACTGCATGTTCTTCACAAAAACCCCAAACTTTTGTGTATTTCAAGTGTTTTTGGAAGTTTTCAGCAAAATGTCACCTTTTTGTAGTTCCCGTCATTGAAATAGTAGTCTCTAGACGGCATCCCAAGTCCTGGCTGATCGATCTAAAGAAAAACAAGAACAAATAACGTCTATTAAAGAACAGGACTAGGAGCTATCAGGATTTTTTTTCTTTTTTCAGTTTTCACAGTTCACATTTTAAAGCTGTTGCTAAAGGAAAGGAGATGGAAGTCTTTAATTTTTAATGTATAAACCTTCCACGTGAAGAGCAAATTTAATGCATTAAAATAGTACCAAACATGTTTTTGGTTTTGGAAACATTCCTTGGATCCACCAGAAGCCAAACAATTATCCAGAATAAATAAAAGTGTTAATTTGCTTTATCAACAACAATGATTAAACTCAGTAACTCCATATCCTGTGAGCCAGCTGTGGTTTTCTAGAAAAAAGCCACAGTTCCAGTTGTTTACTATTTCATTCAAATGTATTTAAACCCTCCATCTTTTCTTCTTCTTTCATTTTGTCTGGATTTTTCTCATGCTGCTGTTTTACTGCAAATACTACAAAACATGTGATTGTGTAGTCTGTGTTGATCCACTGCCTTTTGACACCTTTCTCTATATATATGTTCACTTTTTAAACTGTGACACGTTTCTGTTTTTCTAAACTAAGTCTTTTCACTTGTCCAAACTATTATTTAAGATTTTTTTTTTATAAACAAATATCTATAATATAAACTAAATTTAGAGAACAGAAAGAATTTTGAGATTTTGTTACATCATTTTTGCATATTTTACTTAAATCCTGAGAATATATGGTTAAATAAAACAAAATCTTCTCATAAAGTGTTTTGTTTTTCCTTTTGGTTTACATTGGATCGATTCCATTAAACGAGGAAAAAAGCCCAGCCTTATTAGTTGTTTTTAGTTGTGAATGCTGTAGCAAACTGCTGTCTTACATAAATGATGTGGCGCTGAGAGTCCCGGTCGTCCGTCCACACGTACAGGTCCAGCACCACCTTCTTGTGGAAACGAGCCGTGAGCATTGCCAGCGTGTCCTCGAGGCTCCAGGCTTCCCCTGAGGTAAAAACCAGAACAAAAACTTTCAAACCACGTGGGCAGCTGTGAGGAAATGATCACATTAAGGCGGCAGAAACCTAGCTGCCTCCGCTGCAAATTAACGGGGCTTTTCTGAGTAAATCCTTGTGCGCAGATGCAGCTATGCATGCCTAATTCTGTTTGAGCCACCATCCATGATTACATTTAATTAAAGTGGCAAGAGCCTGGAGCACGAGGATGAGCAGCACAGCCTATTTAAAGCCTGCTTCAGAGTCCTGATTGAGGACTTGCTCCTCTGCCCACGCACCACCCTCCAGAAACCCACACCTGACTGCTCGTCGCAAAAAAACATCCTGGACGGGCCTCTTGATCCCACCAACAAAGCATGTACTCAGCAGACCGCTGGGCGCAAATATAGCAAGCTGAGCTCTGACTGAATGCAAGTGTTTGAGGAGGGATGATGTGTGGATGTGCTGCCAGCTGGTAGTAGGAGACATGAGTCGGAGTGTTTAGGAGACACATTTCTACCTGTTGTGGTGTTCCAGTCCTCTGACGCCACAGGCCAGTCTCCGATGCTGTCGATGAGCTTCAGGAGGGGCTGTGAGTCCCGCTGCTCTATGAGGCCTGCACAGGACAGAGGCAAATGTTTAAGAGCTGACAGGAACCGCTGGAAAAAAAAAAAACCTCAAGAGAAACATTTCATTCTGAGAAACGTCATTATGTGCAGGCGCCAGTTTGATCCCGTCAGCAGCACCAGACACATCCACTAATGACAGGCAGAGTTCAGTGTTTACCTTTTGTTTTACTTGAAGTAGGGATGAGCCAATCAGGGCGTTTACTGCACATGATTGGAGTTATGTAAAAATAGCCATTTGACGATACAAAGTCCGCTAAAATCAATGCAAAAATGCCCCTGCTCTTTTCAGATTTCTTCTGGTTTTGCTGTTTCATGGTTTCAAACAGAGTCACTGATAGTTCAGTGGAATCTGCTCTCAAACGGAAAATCTCGAATGAGAACGTCTGGCCGTCAATTTGACTCTAAACTCATGAGATATTTGTCTCATAGTAGCTCAAGAAATTTAGAAATGTTGTATTTGATTAAACGTAAAACAATCTGTGATTGGCTGGTGGAGTGGTTCTCTTACGTAACACAGACATAGGTCAGAGAAGGACATCACAAATTGTTGTATGTGCACATAAGAAAACAGTCTTTTGAGCTCATGTTGCTGACATAGATATAACGCCATAATGCCAAAGTGTGGTCTTGCATCCCATTATTTTCTCTGGAGGAACCTTAAACTGGTTACTAAAATGCTCCAAAACCCATCGGTATTGGATGGGTCTTTGCAATTTAAACAATCCTGCAAAGAAAAGTTGGTCACAGTGATGTAAAGTCTCATTCCCAGCCATTTCAAACGCTTGTTGCCACTGGATGGAAGAACCAGTTGTCAGTTTTAAGGAACATTTGGCCCAGTTAGGTTGGACAGATTGATTTCCGTTTAAAACCACATCTTGTGTTCACTCAGGCTATCTTTACTTGACAATAAAATGTGTTTGATGACCTGAAACACTTAAGTGTGACGAAAAAGCAAAAGCAGAAGAAAAGCTTTACAACAAAAATTAGCACTTCGACATATTTTCACTCAAGTAAAAGTTAAAGTTATTGAGAGTAAAAAAGTACACTCAAGTACTGAGTAACTGATCAAAATTACTAATCATTTGACATTTAAAAATTACATCATCAGACAGACCAAAAGATTATTTTAAGAAAGAAAATGACAACAATTTATATAAATAACAAAAAAATAGCAAAATCAGGCAAAATGATTTTCAAATCAGTTTCTTTAAATAAAAAACTTTAACAAAAACAGCAGGTGTTTGTCTGACAAACATGTTTTTTTGTTAAAACATGTTTGTTCTTCATTCAGTGGAAAGAGAAACCAGACATTTTACTCAAGTAAAAATAGAAATACTGCATAATAAAATTACTCAAGAACAGCAAACTTCTAAAAGCCTTTTTTCACATAAAAAGTTAAGTAAATGTAATTGAGTAAATGTAAATAGTTTCTTCGAATAAGAACTTTTTGAATTATAATTCTCCAATCAAAGCTGAATGTTGCTGATCTAAATAGCACCAAAGTTTCCTCTTAACTGCATTTTAAGAAAATCTTACTCTCATTCATGCAGGAGCTGTAAAGGATTTTAGCTTTCTTGATGGCGTCTCTGTCCTGCTCACTCTCTGTCTCAAGAACACCTGCAACAACAAAACAAACTCTTCCTGTGTTATCGAAGCTCTCCAAATGCTGCGGCCCACTCGGCACCAAAGGTTAAGCCCCGCTGACCTTTGAGGACAATCTCCAGCTTGTCCCTCAGAATGTCAAAGACGCTGTGGCGGGAACTCGTCTCCGGTATGACATGCCGTTCCAGCCAACCCCCACAGGCGTACTGGTAGAAATTATCACAAGGCTTCACAGAGTCATCGATGTTCTGCAAGAGCCGAGCAGCTGCACAGAGAGAAAAGCAAGAGTGGCAAAAAAAGAGACAGAAGTAAGGATTCACACATGTCTCTGCATGTGGTTTTCACAGGGGATGAGAGATTACTTTATTTTCAAAATAAAATAGTGGTCAGGGTGAAGAGGGCACTCATCTCACCTGCAGTGACACAGTCTGGAGTCGTGCACACGTTGTTCAGGTTGGAGCAAAACATCTGGCCTGGGAAACAAACAGTGTCAGCAATTATGAAAGAGCGGAGCGGACTCTTTGTTACACCCCAGCTGAGACAGAGAAGATGCTGTTGTGTAACAGCTGATGCTTGGAAGACAAGCTCTGCAGCCACGAAAGCTCTCCCAGGCAGTGGCGTGCACAGACATTTTGAGGGACAGGGGCTCAAGTGCAAAAAGGCACCCTGTCTTAATCTCATTGACAGTTTGCACATATGCACAAGAAAATATTTAAAGTGATCTTTCATTAAAAAAAAAAAAACAGATTGTCTAAATAAAACCAATGAGAACAATTTGATAAATTTGAAACAGAATACCTATACACACACATATATACAGCTCTGGAGAAATGAAGAGCCCACTGCATTGAACCCCATTATTAATGTCTGAACCCTTCCTGAATTAAAACATTAGTATTGTTGTTTCTAAATGAGTATCAACTTGTTTTCTTTGCATTATTTGAGGTTTGAAAGCTCTGTATCTCGCTCATTATTTTGACCATTTCTCATTTTCTGCAAATAAATACAACGTTTTTTTGCTTGTAATTTCAGAGACATGTTGTCAGTAGTTCATAGAATAAAAGAACAAAGTTCATTTTACTCAAACATATACCAAAAAATAAAACCAGAGAAATTGATCATTTTAAGTGATCTCTTAGTTTATTCCAGAGTTGTTAGACACCTATTTTAAAAAAAAAAACACCTACAAAGAAGTTCAGGGACATGAAAGAAAATAAATCAACTCAAAACCAGGAGGCATTTTAAGTGCATTTTACAAAATCCTTATCATTAATAAATTGGCAAAATTATTACAAATTGATTGATTGATCAGGCAGAATTACAAAAATGTGGGGCACTGGCAACATCGGTTTTTAAATCCAGAAATACTAACTTGTGCCACACAATACACTGTAAAAATGTTTTCTTAAATTTCAAAAGGGCTTTTTTTTTTCTTCAGAGAGAAAAAGTGCAGGTGCTCTAGCACCACCTAGTGTCCAGCTTTGTATGTGCCTGCTGTCAGAGAATATGAAAACATGTCTCTGTTCTAGGTTTAGTTTCCAGCATCAGACTCACCTTCACCTGTTGAACTCCTGGAAACACTCGGCCTGTTTGATTGTTCTGATGAGGGATAAAAGCAACATTATTCTCAGCATTGAATTGTTCAGATTTTCATCAGTTAAAGACAACATTTCTATATCAAACATCTACTGATGCCAGGATAATTATTATTATTGTTCTCTGGTACTAGCTTCAATCCGCTCTGTGATTATACTACCCTTTTCATGAAAACAAGACATAAACTGGTTGATTATTACTTCCTCATCTGGACGTTTGCAGCGTGATCGTGACAGAGCTTTTACCTTTCACAGCTGATGTGTAGAGGACGACCAGCCCTGCCAAGGCACAGCTCACCAGCAGCAGCAGAACCGACAGACTGATCTCTGCAACAGTCCAGCGGCGCTTCACAGCTTTACTTGATTTCTCCATGATATCCATTTGGCTTTCCGATTTGCCCATATTCCTCCAAACTGCCGGCTCTGGCGGGAGAGACACCGTGAAAGTGTGGGATGATCCAGGCACAGAGCTACCGCTACACGTGTGTTTGCATGTGTGTGTGAGTGTTTGCGTGTGTAGGCAGTGATCCATCGGTAAACAGTGCCAGCTGACCTGGAGCGAGTGAGCTTCAGCTGCACACAACTGAACACCTACAACAACTTCAAGAGTTCATCCTGTTGCACAAACACAGACTGATGCTCTTTTCTAGAGAGATCCAGATTATTTCTGCCTCGATCGTCGCTGCTGAATGCACAATGAGTGGAGGCTGTAAAAGTTTCAGCTCTCCTCGTTTCTGTCAAATAAACTTTGTAAAAGCGTCAGAGGGAATCGAAACACGCTGTATCGAATCCTAGCTAGTAGGAGTAGCTGAAGATTTATGTAATAAAACTATTTAAAAGAAAAAGTGACATAAGTTGCATTAAATCTGGTTTGTGACACAACAACTCAAAGGCGAATAGACATGATTATGAAACTGAATCTCCACACGTACATGCACTTATTATGCTAAGTGTGTGTAACTGTTTTTGTAATAAATGCTTTTTTTATGGTGTGGATCCCAGGAAGAGCAGGCATTGTTACGGTACTGGCTAGTGGGGATCCAAACGACCAAACCTCTGGCTCAAAGCAACCATAAGATAAAAGATTACAATATGGATGCTGCATCAAGAAGTGAAATGAGCATCAAGATCATAAAAAACATCCTGTCATTTGTGTCTATAGAGATTGTTTACCATTCATTTGCATTTCCTCTCAAAACAGATGAACAGCCTGGCCTGTGTTTGGCTCATATCCATCAACCTCTCAACAATGAGGCTGAAGTTGGGATGTGGGATGACTTCAGGGCTCCTGGGTGAACGTTTTGAAACCTTTAGTCTTCCTTAGTAATTATTACATGGGCAGCAGCTGATTTAGAAACTTCTGGTTTGTCGCTCAGCGTGTGCTTTTGTTTCTGAGAGAGCCGGCTGATTGTCCTCCGAATGTGGCATTCATGCTGGGAACACCTTGGGACAAAGGAAATGTGAGCTTACTTTTTCTGACCATTTATAAAGTGCTTGGCGCCATTTTGGCCCTCAAGCAGACGCATAAACAGATAAAACTGTAACTCTGCTTCAAGCAAGCTAATTTCTGTGCATAATAATTACATTTGTGTGAGCACAATATTGCAAATGAGCGCTTGTGCAGAGGACAAAACAACAATCACCAGTCGCTGAGTGTTTCTCTTTATCTATTCACTCAGCAGCACCTGTTTCCTCCATAACCAGCAGCGTTGCCCTGTCATTAGGTCTGCCAGTGGCCAGGCGGTAAATCAGAGGTTCACACTGCTGCGCCCCATTAGTCCCTGCTGATGAATACTCATGGGCACAGAAATGGCATTACACGGCGGCATGGAGCCTGTCGAGGATCCGCTGCCATCCTCAGACTGGATCAGTCACAATCCTGCTGCGCCACATTAAAGGCAGGAAAACAACGTAAACTTGAGTAATCTGGTGTTTGCAGTGTTTGTTGCGATTATTTATTTACATTAATGAACACGCTCAGGACGCTTCTGACACATCATCCAAACTTGATCGATTTGTCTTTATAAGCCAATAAATTAAAATATGACATTCAGAAAGTCAAAGCTCGTTATAGCACTCCATAATCCGACTAAAACAGAGGTCAGACATCTCCAAACTTTGCCAATAAGAGATTAAAACTCACAAAACACCCATAAAAAAAGAGACTCCAAACAGCTCAGTGCTGTTACTGGTATAAACAACGTTAATCTGTTCATCCTGTAAATTCAGCATCCAAAACACAAACAGTAATAAGCCTTAAAAAAAGAATAGAACGATAACTTTTACTGCTATATTTCAGCTGCTCACAGAGTGACCCTGAAGGAAAGTCAGACAGATATAGATATGTGAATCCAAACTAAGCAAACTCAAACTTTTCTGAAAATTACAGCCAAATTATATCCACAAACTTGTACTTTTGTGAACTTTAAACTCACAAAATGTGCTAGACTTTATTATATTTGGTTTCCTAAACATTTTATGAAGAAAAATATGAAATCCCTTCACTCTAAAACCAACTGACCTTCAAAGTCACTTAATCAGTAACAGGATGGCACAACTTCAAACATTACTTGGATGTTCAACATTAATTGGAGAAGAAGGCAAAAGGCTCATGACAACTGCAGAAACATTTCTAAACATTTCTCTTCTGGTTGCAGTCTTGCACTCCACAAATGTGGAGAATTGAAAAGAGTCTGGAGGAAAGCCACAAGACGTCTTGTTTGCAGTTTACTACGGGTCAGCAAACATTGCACGGCAATCTGAGAACACAGCCCCCACTGTGAAACATGGTGGTGGCTGTGTCATGCTGTGTGGAGGCTTTACTTCAGCATGGACAGTGAAATTACTTGGAAGTTGTGGGGAAAGATGGAGGTAAATGCTAGAAGAAAACCTACTGGAGGCTGAAAAAGGAGAGAAGTTCACAACAACCCTAAAGTCTTAGAATGGCCCAGTCAAAGTCTAGACCTGGATTCAATTGAGATCAATGGCATAAACTGACTCCTGACTGAGCTACTGTAAGCAGTGAGGAAGATTAATCAAAAACTTCAGGCTCAGCATGCAGAAAGCTGGTAGAGGCATCAGAACAAACGAAGACGGAATCAAAACACAGGATTAAAAAAACCCCGCCAGACTTTGTTTTTTAAATTTAAAATCAGTGAGTGCTTCATCATTAACTTCTCAATTATGAACCACCTAGTTTAGAAGTTTTCTGCTGTAAAGTAACAAAATGCTGAAAAGTCGAAGGGGTGTGAATATTTTAAAACACAATGTGCCCAAAACTGTGAAAACAATCCAAACATTTTTCATTGCAAAATCCTAAGAATAAGTTTAAAATGCTTTAAGAGTTAGTTGTCAGACAACTGAATTCACAACCTAAAAATATCATTAAAATCTAATGCTTGAGCCAAATTAATTAAATACAGAAAATGATCCATTAACTCTGGACTCTCCACTTTCTGACGATGAGCCTGATTTGCTACTTCTTCTGTTTTTCAGCGCAGACATTTCCAGACTGTGTAAAATTATCACAACGACATACAATGTATGCTCAGCTCAGATGACTAAACCCATTTAAGCTGAGTTGTAGGGACAGACGGTGAGGATAATCCACCAAACGCCGTCAGGATCGTCATATCATCAATGTTTTTGTGTTTCTGAGTCTGTCAGGGGGGTTTGGAGCGGAAGCGCGATAGTATTAGCCACAAAAGAGCTGACATTTTCATTCTGTCCACCTTTGTTTCACTAGATAAAAGATTTGTTGGGAGTATCCTACTCAGGAGCGACAGGAGAGGGTGGAACAAAATGTTAAAATGCAAAAAACGCAACTCATACTAGAGAGTAAAGAGGACTTCAGATGCTCAGTTGATTGTTTAAGATGATTCTTAACTTTTAAATGCAATAAGGTTGAAAGATTAAATAAAATATGGTTAAACAAATCACATTTCATTGCACTCATGCCATCCTTCAGAACAACATTTTTCACATGCAGGAAGTGTTTTCAAAAACAAAATAGATTAAGTATAAATGTGCATTTTCAGGAGTTAAAGCGCTCAGATGTTCTCAAGTAATTCTGTGTATTTTTTTTTCTTGCATAAAAAGAGCATAAATGTCCCATACATGTCCAAGCAACAAGGTGTTGGGGTGCAAATCTAACAGGTTTGGGATCAACAGGGTCAGAAATGAGATCATTTCCCTGTGAGTTAGATTAATCTGCACTAAACGTTTCACACAGGGATCAGTGGCTGGTACCGTTTCCCCATAAAGCAAACAAAACACAGGATTAACTCAGGTCAGGCTGTTCCAGCAATCTACAAACTCCTTCTTATTCACCGACCACAAGCTGCTTCTAAACACGAAGCCCTGACATCTCTGTCTTACACTTTGACACGAAAAAGAAAAGATGTGAGAACAGCTAAAAATAGAAATCCAATGAAAGTTTTTTTTTTTTTATCTCTTTTTGGACTGCAGCGATTCTGACATGAGTGTGATCCCTGAAGGCAGCAACTTTAACCTCTCTCACTTTGGGAGCCGACAGGTATTTTGGAGCGCGAGTCTTACCTTTGTAGGTTGGTTGGAAGAGGTTCCTGAGCCGTTTCCCCCCACAGCGTGCTAATATCTCAAACACCCCTGCTGAGGATTCACTCAGAGCTGGTGTGTGGAGAAATGAGACTGTGCTGCCGGCTGCAGGAGACGTTATCCAGTTCAGCGTGCTGCTGCTGCTGCCGCCGCTGCTGCTGCTGCTGCTGCTGCTGCTCAGGGAAGAAGTGAGGCAGCATAGAGGCAGGGA